AGCACCACAGCTCAAAGGCATCAATTCTCCTCCCATCCTCCTTGGTCATTGTCCAACTCTCTGATGCATAACAAGTGATTGCGAAGACCATGTAAACAAAAATTTATTAGCTCACGTTTTAGAAGGCTAAGCATTCAAGTAAAGGATAACATCTCTAGAGGAAGACTTATTCTCCTTTGTTTAATCTGAAAGAAGGTCCTTGTCTATTCTGACTCATTTGTCATCATCTTATGGCATTGCACCTATCTTTCCATATCCTTACTTGCTTGCTTGCTTAATATGCTCTTTTTTAATTCCAAAAAATTTACTTAAAACACACCCTACATTATCAATACTATGCAGCTCTGGTAGTCTAGTGGTAAGAAGCTACATTGCAATCCCAAATGCACATAGTTTGAATCCATCAGCTGCTCTTAGGGAGAAAGGTAGGCAGTCTCCCCTATAACATTTACTGCCTCTGAAAAGGCACACAAGGGTCAGCTAGGAGTCAGTCCTGACTCTATGGCATGTGAGGGTCAGTGATAAGTCAGTCCTGATTCTATGAGACATGAGGGTCAGTGATGAATCAGTTCTGATGACACACAAGGGTCAGTGATAAGCCAGTTCTCACTCTATGGCACACAACAACAACACTAATACTACCTCAGCAATGTAACAAAGAAAACTCATTCTCAAATGGCCCTCTGGGGACAGATGCAGTGGTTAGGATTCACTAGATGGATATTTTTTCCTTTGGGGGAAGGGAGTTAAATTTATCTAGATGTTATGTCCTGTTTAAAGCCGCATACTTTAGATGCCTTCTGAGCGTGCAATTGCACTTACCTCTATTGCTCAGTTTTCAGCCAAACCATAGACCAACTTATAAGGTGAACAAGGATCTGGGGTGACACAGGGCATTCATTACATATTGGGCTGCTAAACAAAAGATTGGTAGTTTGAATACACCAGACACTCCATGAGAGAGAGATGGATCATAAAGATACATAGACTCTGTTATAATAAAGATAGACAGCTCCGAAATCCAATGGTCACAATGAGTTGGAATCAACTTGATGGCAGTGAGATTTGCTTTTTTACAAGGTTTTCTAACAATAACACCAGGAAGGCATGTTCTCTTTAGAACAATCAACCATATGAGAGCAAGAAGACAGTCTTAGCCTAGGCATTAAGCTCAGAAGTAGTAAGGGAGAGGAAAGAATGAGAAAAGAAGGGGTAAATATATAGAGGGGATGAGAGAAGAGTTCTGTTACTCTGTGGACTTGCAATCAATGTCATGAAGCACAATGTGTATGAAGAATTGCGTGGAAATACCATTTGCCCTGTCTTCTCAGAGGTGCTACCTTGAAGAAAACCACTTTCAGCTCAGCCTATGCTTTCCAAAATTTAACTGATCCTTTTTCTTCTTGCATTTTAATACAATATTTTGCTTTAAAGAACAATTATTGGATAAAATTGGGCTGTTCTTTAAGTATTTACCATTAGTGACATGAGTAATGTTCACCATATCAAACCAAACTAAATTGAGTGCTGTCAGGCCAATTCTAACCCATATCTATCCTGTAAGATAAGAGTGGAATGCCCCATATTTCACCTGCAGAGTAGTAGATGGGTTTGAACCAATGACCTTTTGTGTAGTAGCTGTGTGTTTAACCACTGAGCCTCAGAATTCTTATCATCTTAAAGTTAGTGTTTTGTTTTTAAAAATCACAGTAATTCTATTCAATTATTTAAAATGTCACTTACCAAAAATAAGGCATGTTATATATCTCGGTTGTACAAAATGGAACCATGAAACTGTTTACTTGCCTAAATATCTTTCTCCGCCTTGTCTCTTTTTCTCTCATTAGTCGGTCAAGTTTAAATGCCAAAATGGAAGAGTGTGTTAAACTAAACTGTGAACAACCTTACGTGACTACAGCAATAATAAGCATCCCGACTCCTCCCGTGACCACACCAGAAGGAGACGACAGGCCAGAGTCTCCCGAATACGCCGGAGGGAATATTGTGCGAGTGTCTGCTTTGTAAGACAGTTGGAATCAAGCGTAAGAGAATGTGAGCCCTGGCGGTGCAAAGAATCGTAGGATGGAGGAAAGAAGAGACACAATCCTTTTCGCAGATTAACCCGGCAGAGCAAGAGGGCTGTTAATGAGGCGAAACCATAGCTTTCTTTCACTCAAGGATGTGGATCAGACCACCAAACGGCATTTCTAGACCAAGTTTGACCTGTTAACGCAGCAGAATATACCCTGTGGCCCTTTGACTTTGTGAATGAGCACAATGAAATGCCACCTCTTGACGCTTCTTATGATCAGAACTCTTTTTTAATAAAATAAACCTTTGAACATAATGTTCCAGTTGAATGCAAAACAAAACAACAACAAAAAGTTACAGACAACATTTTGATAAATTTTTTTTCCTGTTAAAACCATGAACATTGAGTATGATGATTACTACACATGTGTGTATAGATATACACTCACACAACACATTTGTATTGACTGACGCAGATGCCATCATAATGCATGCTAGAATTCTTTGGAGCAGTGATCTCGTTTCTTTCTGTTGTCTTCAGAATAGGCATGATAAACTCTATCTGTAGAAAGGGGGAATTTCTGTGCACTTAAAACAAGCTGATCGTTCATGTCTATGGTGGGCTGTGCAAATAAACTCCTTTTAGAGCTGCGGTGTTTCTCCCGGGGATGCTAATTAGTCCAGCTCAAGTGTTCGGCTAGTTACGTATGAATTATCGTTTCACCTTGCACCTCGATACTGTTACAACTGCAATAACTCATTGTACACCTGTTGTATCAGGAATCAGGATCTTTTTTGTTGTTCTTGTTCTTTCCAAATCTTCATAGACACAGTAAGAGCCACATCCATAGAAAAAGTTCGAGTGTGGCCAGGTTTTAGGTGACTTTTTAACAGCCAAGACTATTGTGCCATACCTGTTTTTTAAGTAATCTATCTTTTGGTCTGCTGTATTCCTGTGACTTAGTGCATCCTCTGTTCCTGTATTTCTATAGCACCTTTTTATTGGCTTTATCGTCATCACCTGGACGAACTTTTGTAGTTCAAATGACTTTCATACTTTTGTATTTTCCAACAAGTTACCTTGCAAGTAGATGATTATCATCAATCCCCCTGTCAAAACTTAGGAAAGGGAAAAAAAAAAAAGGAGGAGTTGACATTTCTGAGTTATCTCTTACCTCTTTGTGTTATGGAAAAGCCCAGATATTGGATATATCACTAGTTGTTACATGAAAAGAGTTGTCTGAGACTCATATCACAGGATCAATGATCCCAGAGTCTTACTTGATGTATTATTTATTTTGCTTTAGATCTAAGATACAGTTTGAGAATAACTAATGTGAATTGAAATATCGAGATAAACTGGAAGTGCTTTATGTAGCAATACTTGGTGAAAGCACATCTCTGTGTCATTCAGGAAGGCAGTTCAAATACATCTCGGAAAGTTTCCTGTGTATCCAAGGAACAATTTCCTCAGTGCATCAGGAGGGTGGGAGTTTGATGATGTGAAGCTGATCTTTATGTACATTTAAAAGTCTTTCTCCCTTTTTCACCTCTAAAAATATTCTCAGCAGACATGTCTGCATGTGACAGTGTAAACAAGTTTTATGTCAAATGGCAAGTTTTGTTCATTCCAAACCACCACTGTAAGGAATAATGTTTAGCTCACATACATGAAAAAAGTTAATAGATATTCCTCTGTTATAGGAACTTTGAAATGCTTAATGTAATTTATCATTAAAAAAAAATTAACGGAACCATTTTAAAGTAAAGCCAGAAACTATCCTTGCCTCCCATTTCTAGAATAGCTTCTAGAACCGTGCTGTGCACTGTAGCTGCTCAGTAAGCATCACTGAATGAAAGGAAGATAAACTCACCTCTCCCTTGGGAAGACCTGGCTTTATCACTAGTAAGTCTTTTTAAAAGTTACTAATCTTCCAGCGACAAGAATATTAACAATTATTAACACCTGTGTCATGTCACTTTATTCTTCTAGAGCAACTGTATAATAAAACTTTTTTGATGACATCTACTGAAAAGCTTTTTTCAAGCTAGACTAAGAAAATCACAGTGCAGGAATACTAGGTATTTGAATTCCCAATGAGCAGACTTATTTTCACGGTCTTATCTTAATATTAAATAAAAGGAAAGGCAGTTAGATTATTCCTATTAACAATTTTGCCTACTCTTTCAAACTTATCCTTTATCCAAAACTATTACTTTCTTTAGAATTTTGAAAAATTAGAAAAAAAAAGACTTTTTTGCTGTTTTAGGTGATTTTCAAATATACTGTGTTGGTGGTGAATGATTATTGATGACTGTGTTAAGTGCATCTGTATTGTAAGTGAAATGTAATTATTTCTGTGTACCATATGGAGTAACCAAGGTCATTGTTTTTGACAATTTTGTTTGAAATCCATATATCTTATTTCAAAGGATAGCATAATATCTGCATTATGCTGGAAAAAATAGACCTTTGGCAAATACTTAAATAAATCATGTGCATGCTTGAACAGGATGATACGGTTCATGTTGCCTTTTTTCCTAGACTTGCCTTTCAAAATTCTATGTGCAAGAAAGCACATTTAAAATATATTTTGAGAAAGCCTTTGATGTAGTTTCTCTCTAGTTCTTAGTGTTTTAAGAGAACCAACTCTGTGAGTGCATTAACATATAGTATTTGTTAATAATTGCTAATGAAAGAAGTAATACTTCTTGAGATTGGGTTGTACCATCTTGAGGGTTGGTAAATACAAAATGCATAAGTCACATGGCAGGCTACAGACTTCTGCATACTTTTCTCCTAATACCCACAGGCCAGATAAAAGAAAGATCAAGAACAGAAGGGTAAAAGGGAGCTAGTTTTTGTTGTCAAGTGCTATGAAGTGAGCTCAAACCCATAGTGACTGTGTACAACAGAGCAAAAGCCCTGCCTGATCCTGCGTTCTCGTCCCAATCTCTGCTGTGCTTCATACAGCACTTTGCTGCAGTTGCTGGTCCAATTTATCTCACAGATTTTTTCCTCTCCTTTGCTGACCCTCCTCTTCTTCAAGCATAATGCGCTTTTCTAGGGACTAGCCCCTACAAACAAGCTGCCCATAACATCTGAGATATTTTGGAGTCTCAGTGTTTATCTCTTTAAGGAACAAACTGGTTACACTTCCTCCAAGACAGACATTTTCACTTTTTTGGCTCCACATGGTATTCCTCACCAACACCAACTTCAAAGGCTTGGATTCTTCTTTGGTCTTCCTTATACATTGTCCAACTTTCACAAGAATCCGAAGCAATCCAAAACTATCACAGCTTGGATTTGGGTTATTACATGCATCTTAGTCTATAAACTGGCGTCTTTGCATTGTTGTGCTTTGAAGAAATCCCGGAACCTAGATTTGCCTAATATGCTGCTTGACTTCTTGACTGCTTCTTTCACAAGCACGGATTGTGGGTCCAACTAAAATGAAATCAGTGACAGCTTTTCTCTTTTCTCCATTTGTAACAATGTTGCCTATTGCTCTAGTTGCAAAGACTGTTGGATTATTGATTTTTTTGGTTATTATTTGGAGATAGAGAACTACTAACATATCTCTTTATCCTGGAAGCATAACACATCCTAAAGAAATGCCTTTTCAAATAATTTATTCCATTGCACTGTGGGAAAGGAACCCTGGTGGTGTAACAGGGAAGAGCTTGATTGTGAACCAAAAAGTCCTTGATTCAAACCTACCCAGTGGCTTCCCAGAAGAAAGATCTAATAATCTTCTTCTGTAAAGATTTTAGCCTAGAAAAGCCTTTGACACAGTTATAATGTCACATAGGGTCTTTGTGAATTTTATATCACACAACATTATGGGAAAGCAAATGTTTGGTCAAAGTCAAACAAAGTTTACACATCAAAACTAACCTCAGCTCCCCATAACTCATTCAAATTCAAAGACCTTGACTAAGTTCTTTGTAACTCTTAACTTTAATCTAAAATGACCATACAGTTACTTTATGCTAACAATTGGAAATTAAGAAACTTGAATAGAAATACTTGTGTCATTTCAAAAAAGAAGAGTGCTACTTTTTAATAAGTTTGGGAAATATTTTAGCAACTGCAACTGCATAGCTACCAACTGAAAATAATGACACCCTGCAAGATTTTATTGACTGTTTAAAAAACAAAAACAGTTGATTTTTGTGGACAATATATTCAAAGGGAGTACTCCCAGCAATGTATGGACAAGTTTATCAGCTTGTACCTCACAGGCTACTTGACACATGTAGTGTGCTAGGTCTCTAAGCCCTATGCTGCTTTTCTGTCCAGAAAAACAAATGTTGTTGTTGTTGTTGTTGTTGTTGTT